ACTTTCGAGGGCTCCTGGGGGGTCCAGCGGAGTGACGTCCCACGCAGACTCAGATTAGACCTCGCCATCCCTGTGAGGCTTCGATCTGCGAAACTGTCGCTATTTTCGAGGGCTGCTGGGGGGTCCAGCGGGGTGACGTCCTACCCAGGCTCAGATTATGCCTCGCCATCCCTGTGAGGCTTCGATCTGCGAAACTCTCGCTATTTTCGAGGGCTGCTGGGGGGTCCAGCGGGGTGACGTCCTACCCAGACTCAGATTATGCCTTGCCATCCATGTGAGGCTGCGATCTGCGAAACTGTCGCCACTTTCGAGGGCTGCTGGGGGGTCCCGCGCAGTGACGTCCTACCCAAACTCAGAGTAGACCTCGCCATCCCTGTCAGGCTGCGACCTGCAAAACTGTCACCACTTTCGAGGGCTGCTGGGGGGTCCATCGGGGCGCTGTCGCGGGCCGCCCGCAGACCTGGCGACGCGCCTTCGAGCGTTTAGCTCCCGCACTGAAGAGTGCAGAAAGGAAGCAGGGAAGCTGGCGGGCGAGCCAGGCCTGGCTCATTTTGTCGAGCGCCGCGGCGACATGGCGCATGCAACGCTACATCTTTTAGTGTACTGCAGACAAAAACAACACTCTTCGGTCTCCTCCCGTTATTTTCGTCGTCGTCTTCTGCCCCCTGCCACCTTCCCTCTGCTGCTGCCGCGTTGACGGGTCGGCGCCCCCACGCGTCCTTCTCCTGCCCTTCGTTCCCGCCCCCATGTTCTCCTCAAGCCTGGGCATTCGCTCCTCGTCCTTCTGCTGTTGTCCTGTGAATAGTGCCGCGTGGGCGCATCCAATGTAGCTTGTACACCATATAGCGGCGCCTACACTGTCATTGTCCTGGCAAGTTTGAACCAACTCCTCTTGCCACTTGATGCGCATGGGTTGGGTCGGTCACAGGATAACTTCAGTTTGTGCTGTTCGGTTGATCGAGACGTATAAATTTCGGCCTAAGGTCTGTAACAGTATGTCGGGTTGTAAGTACATGTTCGACCGTTTGTCGAAAATAGTGGCCTCCTTAGAATTTCTTTTATCTTTGATTATCTCCCGGTGACGTCGGATCAGCGCTGGCAGCGCAAAAGTTGTCCGACCGTTAGGCCATGATTTGCTCGATGCCATTGCCAAGGCTTTATTGAAGGCGCGTTTCGAAGGAGGCAAAAGGATCTGGAATCTGTGAGCTTGGCATGGCCTGTCGGGTTACGCGGCATGGTGCAACAATGATGGGATCCGAAACGTCACCAAGGCAAAGGGCAAATCGTTCCGAAGTGCCAAGGAGCCCGATTCAGGGCGGAAGCGTCGCGCAAGGATGCGTTGCACTCGGATCGTGCAAGCAAGAATGCGCTCTGCTTGGGGAATCCGCCAGAACTGGGAAGCCGAATGGGTGCGACCCACAACAAGTGGCCGAGAGAACTGACAGTACCAAGGCCTGGACAGACCTACGAGCAAATGGCCGGCTCGCTACAAGCGCACCGCGCGAACACATAGCTGAACCGCATGCGGCCGAAGCGGGTACAACAATCCCGCAGCAAGTGAGGCGAATGTGGCAGGCCCGCGGCGAGAAAACGGTGGCCATGAGTCGGGACGAGCCCGACTAGGCCTACGCGAGCCAAAGCGTCTTCAGATGCCTTGCCTTGGGTATCGGGAAAGACGTCGGGGTGGGCTTTGGAACAGCGGGCACATCACTTTGCCCACAATTCCTGCTCGCCAGCTACCGCAAACCGAATCCGACACGTCCTGCAAATGAAGCCTTTGCTCACCTTTGCAGAGACGGCCGCCCCGCCAGCGCCCGTCGTGTGTGCACCCCCCCGCCCGCAGTATGCACACTGCGACTCCTCGCACGGCTTGCAGACCGGGCAGTGAAAGAGGCCGCTGCTGCTGTGCCCCACTGGCCAGAGCCAGGGCTGGACCTAAACACTGTTTTGTTGGATTTCGGCAGTGTTTTTATTTTTCGTTTTGGCAGGGAGGTAAAGGACAACAGGTAGAGCAGAACAAAAAGCAATACAAAAGAAACGAAAAACAACGTCTAGGTCCAGCCCTGGCCAGAGCTGTTTCTGACAAGTCCAGCACGTTGGAGGGCGCACGGAAGAAGGGTCATCCTGATTCCCCCGACCTTTCTGGTCTTAAGTCGGGCATGTCCCTCTACAGGAGGAATATTCAAAAACAATGAAAAATAGTTTGGGGACTTTGTGACTATTTTTGAATATGTTTTGACTATTTTCCATTTCTCCTCCAACATCCGCCTGTAGGAGGACATGCCGACCTAATTCTGGTGAGTCCCCGTGTCCTGCCATGTGCTCGAGTGGGCTGCTGGCGGCAGCGGTGGGCGCTCCTCGGGCGGCAGTTCGCGCCGAAGTGGAGCGCCTTTGCAAAGACAGATCTGCAGCGCGAGCTTGCAAGCAGTGCAGGGGTGCCGTCGTCGGGACGCGGAGTGGAGAGAACGCGCGCCAGTTGCCATAGTGACTCTGCGGCAGCCAATGTCGTTCCGCTCCGTCCGGAGTGCGAGCTGGTTCGGGCGAGTTTCGAGCGAGCGAGAAGCTGTCACTTTCAGCCCTGCCCAGGCTGATGGGAGGGCAGGCTGTGCGTGGCGCTGAGCGAGACCCGTCGCGATGATGGTGTCGCCTCTACGGAGCTGGGCGGCGATGTCTCCAATGGGCCTGCGTGGCGAACGGGAGAACGAAAGGGGACGACCCATGAGGACAGGCAATGGGGACACTCCCAGCACGAGGCCTGCTGGGGGACCTGAGCGCCCCGCGAACAGCGAACGCACCCCTATTGGCGTCATTGTTGCCTGAGCTCCCTGCGTGCGCTGCAACATGGACTGGTGCAGGAGCCCGCCGGAGTGCATCGCGAACTTCTGCCCTGTCGATCTGTTATGGATTGCTGTACCGCGCTCATCGATGCAGCCGATGGGTACCCGCTGGGCTATGACGCGCTTGCAGGGGTAACAACAACGGATGTCGAAAACGAGGTGTCGTAGAATCATATCAGGAGTCGAAGCCGATCATAGACCTACTGTGACTGCGAGAGTACAGCTCAGTGCTTGGTAGACGAACTGACCTTCCTTCACCAAGGAGTGGAACAAACGAGCGGGCCCTCGCCGCTTTCACGCTGCACCCCGCGGCGGCTGGCACGTGGCTGTGGCCAGGGGGAGACTGACTCCCAAGGACGTGGGAGTCCTCCTCCTCCTTTTCCTCCTCCTTCTTCTCCAGCCGCCGCTTCTGCTCAAGCCACTTTTCAGCGGTCAAGCAGGCACCCCGCGCAGAGCAGCTCCGCCCGCCAAGGGCGCCTTCCATGACATGCCAGCGTGGCTGGCCTCCAAATTCTTCATGTCGATCTGGATCATTATGCCGTTCCTCCGAGGGGGAGTATCTCATCCTATTTCGCTGCTGGCGCTGCATTGCCGCCTCGTGATCAGCCACTCCTACAGCGCCAAGGACGAGCAGCTGCCCCCAGCTATGCGTTGGCGACTGCGCGACGCCAGCTCAGAGATCGACCAGTTTAAGACTCTCAAGCACGAAGTCTACACGTGGGGCTATGGCCGCGGATCGCTCACCAACAGTCACGAGGGAAGGGAGATCATGGTGAGCTCCCAGTGGTTCGGTCAGCGAGCCTTCGTCGATATCCAGAGCCCGCCCAAGCAGATACAAGGATACGCAGGTGCTCTCCGCTACCAGAGGGGCGAGTGCGACCTCGCCTTCCTCGCGCCTACTTCATGCCTCGCTCGGGGCTAGCGGCAAAGTCTATCCAGTGGGTCACAGCGGACACAGAGACGCACACGTGGATCAACAGTACGCTTCATGCCACACCAACGAGCAGCACATCGTCGATAGGCATTGACTTCAAAGATCATCAATATGGAGCTGACGGACTCATTACAGATGAAGTACACGAGGCCTTCGGGGACTCGCAACTACACGGTCGACCAGGTGAAGCAGCCCCCTCCTGCTATAACATGTTGGACGTTCAAGGACTCCGCCTCCCCAGTGCATTCTGGCAGGCTGACCCTACCTATTTCGGTGCAGCTGGACAAGCTACGAGACCTGATTGCCTCGTGGTTCTCCCAGGGCTATTGCAGAACCTCCAGAGAAGCGGTATTTGGTGGATGGCAGTGAATAAAGTTCAACAGCTCAAGTACAGCGTGCCGAGGGACCCCGAGCCACTCGTCGCCAGGGCCGACATCGTCATGCACAATATCAGCTCAGGCATTCTTCGGACGTTATGGGATTGCGACAAAATGGCAGAGCCGCTTCAGGCTGGAGATTTTCTGAATGAGTTCATATCAGCCCTCGCGACCTCGCTGGAGCACCACACAGATACCATCCGCGAGCTCAAAGAGCAGGGCACCACATACGACCAAGGGAAGTTCCTGATCGGCACGCAAGACCGCAGCCAAGCCCTACGTCGTGCGACAACAAAAAAAGCCTGGTACCAGCAAGCAGCTCATGGCAGAGCACCCCCAGCTTCCGAATACAAATGTGGAACTACGCAAGCAGTACATTGGAGCAGGGCTTGATCGTGTCATCAGAGAGAAGCTGGACACACTCACGAGAGCTATCAAGAAGCAGAAGCAACCTCGAGACGCAGCGCGCAAGAGAGCATCAGAGGCACAGATCTCTGATACATGGCAAACAAGGCAGCACGGTGACGGATATCGACTCAACAAGTGCATGGCAGGCACCATTCATGGCCAGAGGAACCGCAACTACTACAGAAGGGCAACCCGATCGAGACCGAGCCTCGCCGAGAGGACTACGCACGGTGCACTCAATGGCGCTCATGGGGGATCTCAGGCTCAACCTTCCGACTCCGTGGAAGAGAAAAAGCTGCTCCTGGCCGCCTACGAGGACCGCGACGACGACGACGTCAGGCAGCAGCTCACGGAGGAGTATCAAGATAAGAAGGAGTACTTGGACATCCTGTACTACGGAGACAAGAAACGGCTCAAATACTTCAATAAACGAGCTCAAGTTCCTGAAAGGTCGTTGCCAGCTGACACTTTCCAGATCATCCTGCAGCCTACAGACACCACAAAGAGAAAACCGCATACCCAAGGCCTCGATATCTACGAGGAGCTGATGGAGGCGCCGCCGCGGACCGGCCAATGTCTCGCAGGGCTACTTCTTCATGGCTACCGGGTCGGCTTCGCTCCAGTGGGCGCTCATCGCAGCCTAAGCTTCACGCTCGACAAGCTGAACGCCACGCCCTCAGTTCAAGTATCGCGTATACTGCACATGTATTGGCCGCTCAGGCGCTACGTGCGCTGTCAACTTCACTGCCAGTCTCTTCCCGGACAAGATCAAAGCAGCGACGGTACTGCTCAAACGCATCAAACTCAGCAAGTGCTTCGACTCCTATTTCAGCGTAGCTCTCGCTGTTCGTACAGGGCGCATGGGCGGACGCGGAAAACGAGGAGGAACTGATGGTGGAGCAGCTGCAGTGGGTCAGCATCCAGGATGCCATTCACCGTGCACTACTTCAGATTGGAGAGGTGGTCAAGGAGGGCAAGGCACCCGCGGGAGGCAGGGCTGGTGAGCTGGCTGCCTGGCTTGCAGGACAATGATTATGTATGGAGGCCGACTATCTACGCCATGGTCGGCTTCAAGCTCGGCGTGCGCGACGCCGTGAGCTGAGTGAAGGCGCCCGCGCTGTGCGGGCGACGGCGGGGGCTAGAGCAAGAGGCACGCGCCAGACTCCGCCCCCCGAGGCCGCTCTTCTTCTTCTTCTTCTTCTTCCTCCTCCTTCTCCTCCTCCTCCTGACCGCGCGGGTCAAGGGGGCCCGCTCCAGGAACTCCACGAACGGGTGCTGAGTACAGGGGGGGCGCATGCCAAGAAACATCCTGCTTGCCTCCAGGGTGCCCCCTGGGTTGCTCGGGGCTCGATGGCTTTGCTATGGAGAGCGTGGCGTTCCCACACCAGGAATCAATGGACGTCCTGCGGTCTCAGGGTTGGGTTTCTTGTGGACTAGCCTCCTCTGCGCCCCCCAACGAACCGGCGACGGCGTAGATGGCGGAGACAGCCACGGTGGCGGTGGCGGCGGCGGGGGGAGCGAGCCTCCTGGACACGGGGAAGCCGTGTCGCGGTCAGCATCTGCAGGCGAAACGCGTGAGACCAAGCCTGAACGGAGCGTGTGGTGAAGGGGGCAACACGGCTGCATTTACGGCTCGGGCCCTACGGTCGGCCTTGATTCGCAGGTCGACCCTGCCAAAGCAAGGGTGCCCTCGTGTCCCGTGCCTTGCGAATCATGCCTTCTCGCATTCCTGTGGCAGTGTGGCCCTCGGAAGGGCCTCGTGTCCTCTCGCGTGTCTTCTCCAACCGAGTCCGACTGCAGGGAGGAAGGAGGCGGCGGCGGCGGACGATGGCTGTGTCGTGAAGACGTGCCCAGCTCTGGCAGCTACTGTGAAAAACCTCAGGGCAACCTGGGGCAACACGCCGCTGTCAGAAATGAAGTGCCATCTGGCCTGACCAGGGGGCGATCCGCCTGTGGCGCTTTTCCCGAGCTGCCGCACGCTTGGCAGCAATACGGGCCAGCTGGTCGGCAGTGAGGACGGGGGAGGAAGGAGGATAGGGGAGCAGCAAGTGTCATAAACATAAAAACTCGGAGGTCCGCGCGGGTTTTCTCGGACTGGCGCTGGACCCCCCTCCCTGGCGCGCAGAGCGCGCCGTGGGCGGCGCCGGAGGCGCCGCCAGGGGGCTCCAGCGCCGATCCGAGAAGTCCGCGCGGACCTCAGAGTTTTTATGTTTATGCCATTTTTTGTTCCTCTAGAGGAGGGAGGAGGGAAAAGGGAGGGAGGGAGCAGCAGCAGCAGGGGGGGTCGACGCTGACGATGATGCGGATTGTGATGGTGATGACGGTGATGATGATGCTGCTGCTGATGATGATGATGATGATGATGATGATGATGATGATGATGATAACGGTGATGATGATGATGATGATGATGATGATGATGATGATGATGATGATGATGATGATGATGATGATGATGATGATGATGAGCTTCCCCTGGCGGATGGGATGATGATGATGATGATGATGATGATGATGATGATGATGATGATGATGATGACGATGATGATGATGATGAGCTTCCCCTGGCGGATGGGGGCCGCGCTTGCTTGGGCCGCCCCACCCGCGCCAGGGCCCGGCTGCCGAGCAGCCCCGCCCCTGGCCGGGCGGAGCGGGCGCCGCGACCGGCGGCGACGCACGGCGGAGGCCGCCGCCGCCGCCGCCGCCGCCCGCGCTTTGCCCCTGGAGCGAAGTGAGGCGATCCCGTAGACTTAAGTCGGGCGTGTCCCTCTACAGGAGGAATGTTCAAAAATAGTTTTAAAGATGCTGCCGGAGAAAAGCCCAAATCATTTTTTTTTTTTTTTTTTTTTTTTTTTTTTTTTTTTTTTTTTTTTTTTTTTTTTTTTTTTTTTTTTTTTTTTTTTTTTTTTTGACTATAGGGCTATGAGGCTTTAGGGCTATAGGGCTATAAGCTTATGGGGCTATAGGGCTACAGGGCCATAGGGCTATAGGGCTATAGGACACTAGGGCTATCGGGCTAGTGTGCTGTAAGGCTAGAAGGCTATAGGGCTATATGGCTATAGGGCTATAGGGTTCTAGAACTATAGGGCTATTAGGGCTATATGGCTATAGAGCTACTAGGGCTATAGTGCTATAGTGCTATAGGGCTATAGGGCTACAAGCCTATGGGGCTATAGGGCTATAGGGCTATAGGACACTAATGCTATAGGGCTATAGGGCTATCGGGCTATAAGGCTAGAAGGTTACATGGCTATAATGCTCTAGGACTAGATGGCTATAGGGCTATTAGGGCTATATGGCTATAGAGCTATTCAGGCTATAAGGCTATAGGGCTATAGGGCTATAGGGCTGTAGGGTTAAAGGGCTATAGGGCTATAGGGCTATATGGCTGTAGGGCTATAGGGCCATAGGGCCATTAGGGCTATAGGGCTATAGGGCTATAGGGCTATAGGACTACAGGGCACCTGGGCACCTGGGCACCTGGGCACCCGGGCACCAGGGCGTGCCGCCGAAATCGGCGCCGTACCTCACCTAGCCACATGAATCCGCTAGGACCCCTACAGAGGCAAGCTCATATTGGGGAATAATATGGGGACAAGTGTTTCATTTTTTTCCTGTGTGTGTGTGTGAGACTATTTTTCAGTTTTCCTTCAAAATCTGCCTGTAGGGGGACACGCTCGACTCTAACCGTAGACCCAGAGCCCAGAATTTCGGTGGCGAGCGAGGAGGGGAATTGAGAGGGAGAGGGCCTTCTCAGAGGACGGTGGGACTTCTCAGGAGGCCTTGGGCCTTTTCTGAGAAGCTTTTCCGTGTCTCCGGGAGGGCCCAGAAAACTTCGCAGAAGGCTGAGGGACTTCCGAGCCTTCTGAGAAGGCCTTCCCCTTCTCACTTCCCCCTCCCGCTCGCCGCCGAAATTTGTCCGCGTCTCGCTTTTACTTCTTTTTTTCCAATCGCTACCCCCTGCTGGTCTTTGGGAAGTTTCGTGGCGGGCCTCGGCTTTACCTGCACCAGGTGCAACCTACAAGCTTGGGTCTCTACCTGTACCAGGCGCGATCTAATAACAGGATCGGGTGCCCAGTGGCGAGGTGGAGGGTTTCTCCGAAGGGCTTAGGCGACCCGTCCTCCTCCCCCTCCTCCTCCCCCTCCTCCTCCTCTTCCTCCTCCTACTCCTCCTCCTCCTCCTCCTCCTCTTCTTCCTCTTCCTCCTCCTCCTCCTCCTCCTCCTCCTCCTCCCTCTTCCTCCTCCTCCTCCTCCTCCTCCTCCTTCTCCTCCTCCTCTTCCTCAGGTCGCCTACGACCCCAGGGGAAACCGGGTACAGCGAGGGTGTGTCGCTCTTACCGTTCCGCTCGGTGCCCAGACTGGGGTAGGCAGGGGCGTCTGGCTCTGGCGAACCGCGCGTCTGTGTCGCGGGGATGGGCGCGCAGGTCCAGCCAGCACGAAAGCGACGAGTGGGGGAGTGGGCGAAGGTGAGGGCGACGGAGCCGACGTGGGCGTCGCGTTTTGTCTCTTCAGGCTTGTGCTCCACACCGGCAGCGCGTGAGAAAACGATGCTGGGTGGTGTGCAAGCACACCAGCACAAGCGGGGTGCTTCGGGGAGAACAAATACAGGTCATTTTTTTGTTGTTGTGTGTATGTGTTGTCGATGCTGGTGGTGGTGATGGTGGTAGTGGGGACAGGCGAGGGGTGAGGAGGATATTGTTTTTGGCTGGGGTGTGGCACGTAAGCCTTTACTGCCGTTCGCACCAGGCGCGCGAGGTATCGGGCAGTGCATGCGGATCCGCATGGCTTGTGACCCTCGGTATGCCCAGTGCGGTCCCAGCGGAGGGGCGGGTTGTTTGCGGGCTGGTGCTGCTCCTGCCTCGAGGAGTCCCCTCAAGAAATCCCCAAGGATATCCGAGTCCCTCCACGGATACCCTCCAACCCCCCTATGACCCCCTCTTCCTCCTCTCTTCCTCCCTTCCTCCCATCCCTCTCTCCCTCCTTCCCTCGTCCTCCTCCTCCTCCTCCTCCTACTCCTCTTCCTCCTTCGAGTACTTCAGTACAGGTCTGCTGGGAGAGAGAGTGGGAACCCGCCGCCTTGCCGCCTTGGCGGGCTCAAGCTTTAAAGGTGGAGGCAGCCGCACTCGCCCGCAGCTCGCGCATGCCCGACCTGGCGCTGTACGCGGCGCAGTGGGCTGGGCAGGCGACCTTCGCGTGGCTCGGCTCGTGCCCCCGCTGCCCCGACGCGGCTTGCGGGTCGCTGGTGTGCCCCACGGTGCACAGTTCGCTGACGCCGGCTCGCCCAGCTTTCCCAGCGTGCCCATCGTGCTCGGGGGCTCCTGAGGCGGGCTGCCCCACCGCCCCCGGGTCGATCCCGACGCTGGCCAGCTGGCTGAAGCGCGGGAGGCTCCTCCTCTCTGGGTTCGTGGCAGGGGTCGTCGTCTCCGCCCTGGCGCTGCTGTTCGACCTCTCGGGGGCATCGCGGGACATCGGGGCGTGGCGCTGGTCGGACGTCCACTGGCCCCCGCCTCCAGGCACTCCCCGCAACGAGGTCTACCGCTTCGACCAGGAGCCCGACGCTACCACGTTCGCCACCTTCCGCGCGCAGGCGGTGACCTTCTGCGACCCCGCCTACCTGACGCGGGAGCGGACCGCCGGCCAGCCGGCGGTGCTGCCTGCCACCGGCAGCCCTATCGACGCCGTGTGGCCGGCCCCCGGGGCAGCCGCTGCGGTGGCGGCCCCAGCCGCCGGCGGGGACGCTGCCCGCTGGGCGCTCCCTGGACCCGCACCCCTTGGCGGGGCCGTCGCGCCCCTGGCCGCTCCCGGAGCCGCGGCGCCGCTGCCCCTCCTCCCCGGCGGCGGCGCCTGCCGCGCCTGCTGGGGTCGGCCCCGCTCCCGTCGTCGCTGGGGGCGCTCTCCCGCTCGCAGGCGCTCCTGTTACCGCTCGGGTGGCGGCTCCGCCGCTAGGCTTGGCGCCCGCCGGCGCTGCCCCCGGCGCCGCCCTTGGAGCCCGGCTGCTGCCGCGCTCCCAGTGGCGCCGTATCCCGTCCTGGTCTCCGTCGAGACGACCTCGTTCGGCCCACGTGGATCCTTCGTCACCGCCCATGGCACCGAGGTGATGTCGGGCGACGTCGGCTTCTACACCGCACCCTGGGTCGGCGTGGTCTGGGTGCGCCGTGTACGCTCGGACCAGGTCCAGGAGTTCCGCGAGCTCGGAGCCGCCGGCGACGCCCGCCTCCTGTCGGTCATCTCCCAGAGCGGCCAGCGGGCACGCCGCCCATGGCGCGAGGTGTTCGCCTCACTGAGCGAGATCGCCTTCGCCAACGGGGCCGTGGAGGGTTCTCGCACTACCGCTTGGTGCTGCCGCTGGATCGACCGCCGAGGCGATAGGCCGCTCGTTCATCACCGCTTCTTCGTGATGGTCCATCGCCTCAACCAAGACGGCTGGGGCGTCTCCATGCACGAGTTCGGCATCAAGGTCCTCGAGCTGCTCGGCTCGTGCGACGGTTTAGACCTGCTCACCATTTCGGGCGTCGAGTCGCTGATGCGTGGGGTGCGGCTCGTGGAGTGCGCCTACGCCAGGCATGACGACTTCTCTGGCGTCCCCCGTGATGCTGGGGACGGCGGCGCTGGGGGCAAGAAGAAGGGCTGCGGCCGCGGCCGCGGAGGCGCCATCGGCGCTTTCGGGTACCTCGACGAGTGCACGGCTTTCCGTGGGCAGCGTGAGAGTGGTGACGCCATGGTGTGTCCTGCTCTCGTGGAGTGGGTTGTCAGGCAAGTGGAGCACGACGCCAACGTCTTGAAGCAGGTCCGCCCGCAAGTCCCGAGAAGTGAGGACCGTCGCGGGCCGGGGCTCGTGTTAGCCCAAGCTCCAGCGCGCCCCAGGGATCTCCTCGGGGCGCGCCCGCGGTCGCCTCCCCCTCGGCGCCCGCTGCTTTTCTTCTGAGGGGCTAGGCTCGCCGTGGCACGCGCGCCTTGATTTTCAGCCGCTGGAGGGGCCGGCCCTCTCTGCGCTCCCTCCTAGTCCGCCTCGCGCCTCTGTGTGGCACCTGGCCCCATGGCGCGAGCATGCCCTCGTGACCTTTTCCCCTTTCCTGTGCCGGCCTCCCTCGATTCCTCTAGGACTCTAGGGCCCCTGTCTCTCGCAAAGTTCGAAGGAGATTTGAGGTCCACCGTCAGTCAGCATCCCTGGTCTCGGAGGTGGTCACCGTATTGAACGAGTTATACGATTGCCGTGGAGTGAATAGCGTGCATGAGATATCGGCTGCCCAGGAAGCGCGCTTGGGTCATATCCAGCGCGCAGTCCGTCGTTTCGGAAAGCCACCCGATGACCTCTCCTCTGCAGGGGCCTTACGAGAGCTCCGCATCAGCCCTGGCTACCAGCAGGTTGGCAGTTCAGTGGTACCCATCAGCGAGGCCAATTCAGATCGTGTCGCCCTTCCTCCCGCTGGGTGGTCACCCGCGGATGTTTTACAACTGGGCGGCCCCGTCGGCGAAGCCCTAGTTGATGAGTTGCATGCGCTACAGCGTCCTGTTCCAGCTGTTGCAGATACCTCTTCCTCAGTCCCCAGAATCTACAACGATCCGTACCTCCGTTCCCATCCTCGGCTTTATGCGCGTTTTCTTCACCGACTCAAGGAGTCGAGCCTTGTTACCTGGAGGCAAGAATGCACCCCTCGCGTTGGAGTCTTCTTCGTAGCGAAGAAGAACGGTGACCTCCGTCTTATCCTTGACGGGCGGCAGGCTGGCGAGCATTTCGGCGGACCCCCTCGTGTTGACCTAGCTACTGGCTCGGCTTTTTCCGCGCTGGAGGTCGATGGAGGGGGCTCTATCTTCGTAGGAGAAACAGATATTGAGAGTGCATTCTATGGAATCCAATTACCTCAGGAGTTCTGGCAGTATTTCGGGCTTCCTCGTGTTCGTGCTGGGGTCCTGGGCATCTCAGTCGACAGCGCGGGGAGGCCCTTGAGGGTCTCTGACTGGGTTACGCCCTGCTTTACCGCCGTGCCGATGGGGTGGAAACGCAGCCTTTGGATTTGTCAACGAATCATGGAGTTTCGAGCTCGTGCCCATTTTCTGGCCTCTCCTAGCCTAGCTTTCGATGGTGCTCATCTTCTTGTCCGACTTTGCCGTGGCCCCAACAAAGTTTTACATGCCGAGTATGTGGGCAACTTCGTTGCCCTGGGCCTCTCCGAGAACCCCGCGTACGCCGTGACTGACTCTGTCGACCGCAGCCTCCGTGGGGCTGGGTTCCGCACGCACGGCCCAGCGGTGTCAGCGGGCGGAGGCGATCTCGGTTGGACCTTCGACGCGGAGACGCCGACGATCGGGATCAGTCACCGTGTAGGCTGGCGTATCCGGCTTGAGTGTCTGGCGGTCGCGGGCATGTTTTACGCCTCCGGGGGCCTTGTCCGGGTCGTCGTGTCGCATTTCACGTCCCGGGCCTTGCTGCGCCAGGAGCTTTTATCGTGTCTGCAGGCCTCCTGCTCGTTCATCGAGAGCGCTGGACATGACTCTCGAATCTTGTGGAAGGTTGTAAAAAGGGAGCTCCGCTGGTGCTCCGCCCTCGTCGCACTCGCTTTCCGCGACGCCGACGCCGCTTGGTCCCCTTCGGTCTACTGTGCTGATGCGTCGTGGTGGGGTGCTGGTGTGGTCCGTGGGTGCCGTGCGGTCCCCGAGGTCCAGAACGTGGGCCACTACTCCGAGCGTCTCCGCTATTCCGCGGCCCACGAGGCCCCCATCAAGCCCCGGGGCTCTGCGTTGAAGTGTGCGGTCAGCGGCGGGGTCACCGCCTCGCCCCAGGACTCCGAGATCCCGAAGGCCCCCTTCCCCGAGGTTCCTAAGTCCATGTGCGACGGCGACTGGTCCCTCGTCATGTCCCAGAAGTGGGCCCGGAAGGAGGCCCAGGTTGTCCTCGAGGCTCGCTCCCTGGTCCTTGCCGTGAAGCACATCGTTCGGAGCACCCAGAACTTCGGTCGCAAGCATTTGGTCCTGAACGATTGCATGGCCCCCATCCTGGCCGTCACGAAGGGGCGATCATCGTGTCCAGGTATGCTGCAGTGTTGCCGGCAGATTGCGGCATTGCTCGCCGCCTCGAACTGTTATGTCGGCTGGAGGTGGGCCCCTTCGGAGTCTAACGCAGCCGATGCCGCTTCTCGAGGGCGGGCCGGGGCTTTCCGCTTCAATGCAGCGTCGAACCCAGCAGCCGCCCTGGGCCCCTCAGGCCTCCAGGCCCTCCGCGATGGCTTCGTCGGCGACAATCTCGGCGGCGTGCCTGCAGCTGATGCCGGTCGCCCTGGCCGCGCGCGCCGGGGGCCTGGCGGCGTCCAGCCCTCGCGGGCCGAGCGGCCGGCGCCCCTGCCGCGAGTGGGTGCCCCTCGGCCCGGGCGCGTCGGAGCAGCAGGCCGCCGCGCGGGCGTGGGCCTCCCCGACCGTCGCGGGCGCCCCGGTGACGGCCAGCGAGCCGTCCTTCCTCGAGCTGCAGAGCGTCACCCCGAAGGCCGCCGCCGACTACCAGTCGTGCGTGAAGATTTGCCACGTGTGGTGCCTGCACCGCGGCGGGGTGGGCGATCTGGCGACCCTCCTGACGTCGGCCCCAGACATCGACCTCGCGCTCGCGACCTACATGCAGGAGAAGTTCTGTCAGGGGGAGTTCGCGTACGTGCCGACCAAGCTCATGGCGGGCCTCCGGTACTTCTGGACGTTCCCCCACGGGTGGCCGCTGGGGCTGCCCCGGAGCGCGCGAGCCCTTGCGGGCTGGAGGCGCATGGCGCCCGCCCGGAGTCGCCTGCCATGCCTCTGGATCGCCCTCTGCCTGTGCATGCAGCACATGATCGGGGCAGGCCTGGTGATGGAGGCCGTCGCGTGCGCCATCACGTTCGTTTTCTACCTCCGCCCGAGCGAGTGCCTGCGCCTGAAGGGGAAGCTGAGCACGCCTCCGGCTGCTGCAGGCCGTCGCCAACAGGGGGATGCGAGCCAGATGTGGTCGATTCTCCTTCGCCCTCAAGAGGGGGGCGACGCGTCCAAGACGGAATACGTGGACGAGAGCCTCTTGGCCGACGACCCGCTGTTCCCCTGGCCCCCGCAGGTGCCGGCATCTCTCAAGGCAAAGTTCCCGAACAACGTGCTGGTATTCAGCTTGGGCCAGGCTGCCTGGGGCCGTGCGCTGAAGACCGTGTCCGTCGCCGTCGGCATGGGCGCCCTCGGCGAGCCGACTCTCTACCGCCTCCGCCGCGTAGGGGTGTCGCACGACCTCCTCTTCAAGGTGCGCCCGCTCCTGACCGCCAAGAAGCGCGGCCGCTGGGCGAGCGACCGCAGCCTCGTCCGCTACGAGAAGGGAGGGCGCTTCAACGAGCAGCTGAACGCCCTCGACCAGACCCTCCTGCTCGCCGCAGAGGATGCGACCTCGAAGATTGGCGTCGCCCTCGTGAGTGCCTGCCGCGCCTTGTGAAGCTCGTCAGGCGCCCCGCCGTTCTTGAGATTTTTGCAGGCTCCGGTCACCTTTCCGAGACGTTCAGGAAATCGTTCAAGAGCTTAGGTCACCTCGTTTTCGAGATCGACATTCGGCACGGGCCTGATCACAACATGTGCAACAAGAAGCTTGTCAAACATATTAGAGGTTGGATCCGAAGTGGTTCGGTTGTATCAGTGTTCATGGGGACCCCGTGTAACTCTTTCTCTCTGGCCAGGAACCGCCCGAATGGCCCGCCGACTTCGCGGACCTCCGAGTTCCCTACTGGCCTGCCGAATCTCAGTGCCTGTTGCCGCAAGGAAGTTGACATCGGCAACTCTTTGTGCGCCGCCACATTCAGTATTTTTCGTGAATGCCGTTTGTGCGGGTGTCCAGTGATCGTCGAAAATCCAGCGAGCTCCCACCTCTGGAGGCAGCCCGTCGCCCTTCGTTCCCGCAGCCTTCCTGGAGTCAACGAAGTTGTTTTCGACATGTGCGCTTTCGGCACCGCCTGGAGAAAATCAACCTGGCTCCTGGGGTGCCACGTCGACTTGCAGCCGCTGAATCTTCGATGTCGTGGGCGTGGGGCCTGTTCCTTCACCGGCCAGCCCCACTACACCTTGGAGATGAAAGGCTCCAAGGTTGTCTCTAAGCAAGCTGAGGTCTACCCTTTCCCCTTGTGCCGCGCGATTGATACTAGAATTCGGCATGCTCTTCTACAGAAATCAGCAAGTGTATTTCGGCCACATGTATGGGTCCAGGACAGTGTTCGCAAAGGTTCTCTTCCTGGTGTCGGTGGGCTTTACTAACAAGTTCGGAATAGATCCAGCGCTGTTGGAATCAGTGTCGTTTCTCGTTCTCTGCTTCGCCTCGGGGACAACGCACATCCTTATATAGAACGATTTCGCCCTGGTGGGAGGAAAACGGACTATCATGCATTCGAGTTTTCCAGTACAGGTCTGCTGGGAGAGAGAGTGGGAGCCCGCCGCCTTGCCGCCTTGGTTGGCTCAAGCTTTACCCGACCCTCCCCCCCTTTTGTAAATCTGGCCGAGGCACAGGGAGGTAGGGAATATATCCAGCGCTGTTGGAATCAGTGTCGTTTCTCGTTCTCTGCTTCGCCTCGGGGACAACGCACATCTTTATATAGAACGATTTTGCCCTGGCGGGAGGAAAACGGACTATCATGCATCCTCCTCCTCCTCCTCCTCCTCCTCCTCCTCCTCCTCCTCCTCCTCCTCCTCCTCTCGGGCTGCCCCATCTCGGGATGCCCCCTCTCGGGATCGATGTACGTGATTGCGTCGAACGCGTTCTACGCCCACATAGTTTGGTCGGTGCAGCGCAGGTTCCACGGCACCGTTTGCTGCTGTGCCGTCGGCGCTGGATGCATGACTCGGACGGGCTAAGGACTGAGAGACGAGGCACGCATATTCGTCTCGCTGAGTCCCTAGCCCGCCGCCACCTCGAATGTAACAAATGTCGGGTGCCCCCCTCCCCTCCTAGGAGCCCGCCCTCCTACGGCACGAACTACCAGAGTCAAAGCACAGCTTAACTCGAAGACGAACAAATGCCATAAACATAAACTTTTTGGCGCGGAGCGCCCAAACGTTTATGGCTATGGCGTTGATTATTCTTCTATTGACGCCGCCTGTCCTGCACAGACTGAGTTTGCTAACGGCCGACTCGCTTTTCTACTTCGGCTTCGTCCTGGGCCCCAGGCCCCCGCTCTCGGCCAGCTGGGGCGCGCCGTGGCCCAAGATGTCCTCGAGGGTGCGCGAGCTCGCCAGGAGCCGACGCGAGGACTTTTCTGAGGCTGCACTCCCATCGAGCTGTCCCCTGCGCTTCCTACCTCGCCCAGCTCCTCCCCCTTCTTCTCTTCCTCCTCCTCTTCTTCTTCCTCCTCCTCCTCTTCCTCCTCATCTTCCTCCTCCTCTGGAGCCATGTCGGGCTCAAGGTGGCACTGCAGTTTTGCTTTCACTTCCAAGTATGTCGGCCCAGTCGTCCCTGGCTGCCCCGGGTGTGGCGCCACACCAGCTTGTCAGCGAACTTCACGGGACGCTGATGCGCACGTTCGCCGTCTGCACGGCGGTACATTTTGAGGGGATCCTTCAAGCTGCACGTGAACTTCGTCGTCAAGGGCGGATCTCCAACAGCATGAAGAACAAGCTGATCAGGCTCGACAACGCCTACAACCTTGTTTGTCACATCACGGTTGCCTCCGCTCGCGACTTTCACGACAGCGTGCTCAACGAACTGGGTGGTTCCAGTCGGGCAGCATCACACTGCGCGGAGGACGACCCGTTCCACGGGCGAGCTGGTGATGTTTCGAGTGGCGTGGACGTGCTTCCGGATGTCCCAGCCTTCCTGGACATATTGCGGGGGACAGCAATACATGCGGCACGGCAACCCAGGAGTTCTACATTGGCGACGGGGTCGATGCCAGCTCGCAGACGGGATACTCGATCCCTCCAGGTGCCTTCTCCCAGCTTGTGGTGGCTGTTGTTGCCGAGGGTCCCCACGAGAACTCCACTGGTGCTCAAACTACGGCGCTGCCTCGGCCCAGGAAGTGCCGGGTCAATGGGCGCGCTGTCCAGACCATCTTGGCCGAGATCCCAGCTTTGGAGGCGAAGGCGGTCGGGGACCATTGTGAAGACACAGTTGCGGAGCCTCCTCATCCTGAAGATGCGCGTGGTGAGTCTCGTGATGACGCTGGTGCGGGCGCGGCCCCTGCCCTCAGCGGTGGCCTCCCTGGCGAGCTTCAGCACGAGGCCGCTTCCCATTGGAAGCTGACGAGGAAAAAAAAGCCCAAGGGGGCGGAGTTGGAACCAGAGACTCCGCAGGCCGCTGTCTCGGCGGCCACTGGGCCAGCCGCTGGCGGGAAGGATCCCCCAGACACGTCGGCGGCAGTCTCTCCAGAGGAGCTCTGGAGGTTCATCTCGCAGATGCGCAGTGGTCTCGGTGACCTTCGCGCCCAGGCCGCCGCGAATAGAGTGCTGGCGCCAGCGGTCCTGCCGTGAGTGCGGCCTTCCTCCTTCTTCCGCCTCCTCCCCCCTATTCCTCCTCCTCCTCCTCCTCCTCCTCCTGGGCCGCTTGGAGTGTTTCTGCTTTGACCGATACTTGAGGCGCGCGGCATCGGCCCTGTGTTCTGTGTTTTGTGGATTGGCTTAGCCTGGATGTCTGCTGGTGGGCCCAAGATCTCGTCCCTGGTCGCCGCGTGTGCTGCCGACAGGATGCGCTGCGCGTTCGTTACCCTCCCGAGAGCCTGGCCATACCTTCTAAAGCGGCTGCCGCGAGCGGCTGTGTCGAGGGGTCCACTCACGACTCTCAATCAGGCATGCTTCCTCCTCAGTCCACCGCGCTGGCAGGTGGATTCGTCTGCCGCTTTGATGTCGCATAATGCGGCGGGCTTCCCAGATGCCCCTGGATCCAGGAGGAGTGGCAGGGGGCCGTCCTTGGCCAGTGGGAGGCGGGAGGCTCTTCTGCTCTTCGGTCAGGGATCTCAGGAGCGAAGGCCCAGATGGCGGAGAGTTTTTGCCGCCACGATTTGCAACACGTTGTTGTTTTGTTTTGTCTTGTTTTTTTGACCCATGGAACGTAGGCTGTCGAGCTGGAACGGGGAACCTGCTCGTTCCGAGGAGGAAGGCGGATGGACGTGGCTTCGAGAGCTGCTAGGTTCACCCCCCATTGCCTGGCGTCAGATCAAACTTGCAACATGGCTCGGCCCGTGGCCCACAAACTGTCGCATGCAGCGGGAAGCGAAGTGCGTGCTAGGATGCGAAGATGGCCGCGACTCGGTGGACAACTACTTCGGGTCCTGCCGCCGTCTCCAATGGCTGGCTTCTCTGGAGTGTCGGTCCCCGCTTCCTGGCGCTTGCAGGGTTGGTTTTAGCTTAAGCGGCCCTCCAGTCTTCTGCATATGATTACATCATACTTTTGCATTCGCTTCTCATCGGTCTGTCGGCAGCGACGTCGGGACAGCCCTGGCGTTAGTCGAGGCCATCAGGCTTCCGGTCCGCCTTCCCACAACAGGGGGGCAGAAATCCCCCCTCAACCCACAGATGCTGCACAACAGCGTGCGGCAGGCGCGCGGGTGGGCGGGCAGGTCAGGCAGTGCAGACATTTTGCCCCCAGCTGCGCTCCACCTCCTCCTCCTCCTCCTCCGCCTCCTCTTCTTCCTCCTCCTCGGGACCCTCTCTCCCCCCCCCTCCCCGGGCAATCCTGAACCTCCTCCGCTTCCTCCCCCTCCTTCTCCTCCTTGTCCTCCTCCTCCTCGTCCTCCACTCCTGCTGTTCCTGCTGCTGCTGTTGCTCCTCCTCCTCCTCCTCCTCCTCCTCCTCCTCCTCCTCCTCCCCCTGGGTGCGCCCCGCCTCTTCCTCCTCCTCCTCCTCCTTTTGTCGTCCGTCCTGCTGGGGTCGCGAGCGCGCCTGGCTGCATTGGGGCCAAGAGGCGCCTCCTCTTCAGAGCCGCCAGCTCTTAGGCCGCGGTCTGGCGCGCTTCCCCCCCCTTGCTCCTTCTCCCCCTCCCACTCCTCCTCCTTCTCCTCCTTCCCCCCTCCTCCTCCTCCTCCTCCTCCTCCTCCCTCCTTCTCCTTCTCCTCCTCCTCCTCCTCCTCCTCCTCCTCCTGCTCCTCCTCCTTGTGGCTCGTGGTGCCAATGGTATGCGCTGCCATGCTCCTCCCTGGCGGCGCTCTGCCGCCAGGACGGGCATACTACTAACGTGCAGCTCGTTGTAGAGGGGGCCGACGATTCCGAAGGTTTGGTGGATTCCTGAAATGCTCAGCTGGGCACCAGAGGTCTGGATGTGGATCGGGTCTTTGGTGTTCTGAATGCGGCTGGTGTGCCCAGTCGTGTTCGCTAACGCCGCTTCTGTTGAGGTCCCGCTTTCGTCTCGGCTGGCGTTTGGCCTCGGCGGCGCTGGGCGCTGTCCCTCCTCCCCGAGGAGCTCTCGCTGGCACTGTCCCTGTTCCGTTTGCGGCGGCTGCCACTTTGGCCGCTTCCACGGGTATGCCCCCCCACGGGCTCAGGGCATGAGGCCATTGGGGGTTCAGCGCCCGCGGACGGGTCGACGACGCCAGCGGTTGGCTGGCCAGCGGCCCCAATGGCCGCTTCCATGGGTATGCCCCCAGCGGGCTCACTCTCGGGACATGCGGCCATTTGAGGCGAGGCGGTGCTACCGTTGTCGTTGGCCGTGCTGCCGCAGATGTTCGCGGAAGCGCTGCTGTTGGTGCCGACGAGGGTGCCAGCGCAGACGTTATTCTGCGCACAGGCTTCACGGATGGTGGTCTCCGCGGTAGCTTTGATGGTGTAGTCATCAGGGTAGGCGACTCTGACACGGATCCGAGAATCGTGGTGTCCTGCATTGGTCCTATCGTCATAGCCACGGCCCTCGCAGGGCTGGTGGCATAAGAGATCTTCGCCACACCTGGCAGCGACGGCAGCGTCGGCGACGGTGCTGGCGGCGTCGGTGGTGTCGGGATGGTCGCTGGGCCTCATCTGCCCGACAATCCACTTGTTGGGCTGGCTGTCGATGTCGTGTGGGCACCGCGGGTCGCTGCGTCGCCCTTCTCGTCGAAGCTGTTCTTTACTCAGCTGGTGGTGCCCGTGGTTATTGTGCCCTTGGCATGCGATCGCCACCTCGTTGCTCATGGCAGTTCGCCGGCCGTGCCTCGAAGCGTCGGCCAGCCTGCGGTAGGCTTTCGTTCTCGAGCGAACCTCGGCCCCCTGGTGCCTTGGGCCGAGCGAGGCGCGTGAACGTCTCGTGGCTGGTGCTGTTGCCGATGTGGCTGCCGTGGCTGTGCCGGCTCTTTCTCGCGGGTGGGCCTCGCGCGGCCATGGCGCGACACCAGCGGGCGCCGCGCACAGACCTCCGCCCGCCTGCGGGCCCCCCAGCCCCTCTGAAGGGGCATGGCGGGGAAGGGCTTTTCCTCACGTTCCTCGTTCTCCTCTTTCTCCCCCCCTCGTCGTCCTCACCGCCTCTTTCTTCTTCTTCTCCTCCTCCTCCTCCTCCTCCTCCTCCTCCTCCTCCTCCTCCTCCCCCTCTTCCTCCTCCTCCCCCTCCTCCTTCTCCCCCTCCTCCTCCTCCTCCTCCTCGGTCGGTCGGTCGGTCGGAACCTAAGGGCTGTAAAAATGAAGCCCAATATCTCCTCCTCCTCCTCCTCCTCCTCCTCCTCCTCCTCCTCCTCTTCCTCATCCTCCTCCTTCCACCCCCGGGCTTCGTGTCTCCCCCCCCTCCCCCCTCCCTTCTCCCCCTCTCCTTTTCCCCCTCCCTTTCCTCCTGCTTCTCAGCGCCCCCTTCCCGCCCTCGCGCTTCCTCTTCGTGCTCCCTCCTCCCCTCGCTTCGGTCCCCTCCTCCTCTCCTCCCTCCTCCCCCCCTCCTTCTCCGCCTCCGCCTCCGCCTCCGTCTCCGCTTCTGCCTCTGCCTCCCTCTCGCCTCTATGCGGCGGGCAGCGAGACTGCCACGATCTCGGTCTTTTTCCTACCGGCTCCGTCCCCGCTTCCAGCCCGCGGGCGCCGCAGGGTGGACGAGGCGCTGCTCGAGCTCCAGACTGAGCGGGGGCGGCAGCAGGAGCGGAGCTGCACGCCCACAGGGAGGAGGGGGGAGGATCGAGGAGGGAGGATGAGGGAGGATGCGACGGCGGCTGCTCTTCTTACTTTTGTGCTTTTTGCCGTGAGGAGGTGATGTGGCCGGATCTTGGATTCCTGGGGGGCGCTCGAAGAGGACGCGGCAGCGGCGGTTGCCAGTTTTCCTGTCGTGCTTGCGCCAGGAGGAGGCGGTGTGGTTGTATCTTGGACTCCTGGGGTACGTTCGAGGAGGGAGGACGCGTCGGCGGCAGAGGAAGAGGAGGATGAGGAGGAAGAGGAGTAGGAGGAGGAGGAGGAGGACGAAGAGGAGGATGAGGAGGAGGAGGAGTCGGAGGAGGAGGAGGAGGAGGAGTCGGAGTAGAAGGAGGAGGATGAGGAGGAGGTGGAGGGAGAGGAGGAGAGGGGTGAGGAAGGGGGGGAGGGGAGATGATGATGATGATGATGATGATGATGATGATGACGACGACGACGACGACGATGATGATGATGATGATGATGATGATGATGATCATGATGATGATGCTGATGATGATGATGATGATGATAATGCTCATGATGATGCTGATGATGATGATACTGATGCTGCTGCTGATGATGATGACTATGGTGATGATACTGATGCTGATGAACATGATGATGACGATTATGATGATGATGATGCTGATGCTCATGATGATCATGACTATGATGATGATGATGACAATGCTGATGCTGCTGATGATGCTGATCATGACGATGATGGTGATGATGAACATGATGATCATGATGATGACGATGATGATGATTGTGGTGCTGGTGGTGGTGATGATGATGATGATGTTTGAGGTGGTGATGATGGTGGTGGTGGTGGTGGTGGTGGTAGTGGTGGTGGTGATGATGTTGGTGGTGCAGATGCTGCTGCTGCTGATGGTGATGCTGATGATGATGCTGCTGCTTAGGATAATGATGCTGACGCTGATGACGCTGATGCTGATGAGGATGATGATGATGATGATGATGCCGATGCGGATACTGATGCAGATGCTGATGCTGATTATGATGACGATAATGACGACGATGATGATGATGATGATGTTGATGATGATGATGATGCTGGTGGTGATCATGATGCAGCAGATGATGATGCTGTTGTTGCTGCTGTTGTTGCTGCTGCTGTTGTTGTTGCTGTTGTGGATGTGGTTGCGGTTGTGGTTGTTGCTGTTATTGCTGCTGATTTTTTGTTGTTGTTTGTTGATTGTTGTTTATCGTTGGTTGTTTGTTGTTTTTTGTTTGTTGTTTGTTGTTTGTTGTTTATTGTTTGTTGCTGTTGTTGCTGTAGTAGTAGTAGTAGTAGTAGTAGTAGCAGTAGTAGTAGTAGTAGTAGTAGTAGCAGCAGCAGTAGTAGTAGTAGTAGTAGTGGTAGTAGTAGTAGTAGTGGTAGTCGTAGTAGTAGTAGTAGTAGTAGTTGTTGTTGTGGTTGTTGTTGTAGTTGTTGTTGTTGTTGTTGCTGTTGTTGTTGTTGTTCTTGTTGTTGTTGTTGTTGTTGTTGTTGTTGTTGTTGTTGTTGTTGTTGTTTAAGTTTTTGTTTTGGTTGTTGTTGTTGTTGTTGATGTTGGTGTTGTTGTTGTTGTTGTTGTTGTTGTTGTTGTTGTTGTTGTTGTTGTTGTTGTTGAGTACTCATTTCTAGATAATAATTATGGTTGATCTCTGGAAACGGTTCCGGGCGCTCTCGCCTCGACGCCGGATGCATTTTCTCTGAAAACGAGGCTCCCGCTCGAGCGTTGGCTTGACCCTAAAAGTGCGCCCTTGGAGGCCCAGCTACGACAACAACGGCTCCCGCTCGATACTTCCTCACAATTTACCTCGAGACACCCTGGCCAGAGAGGCCCCCGAACTCAGGAACGGCGCTCTCGCTCGAGATTTCCGCGCGATTCAATCAAGTTGGCGGGGCCACAACGACAAGGGCTCCTGTTCGATACGTCCTCACGATTTACTCCGAGAGCCCCTGGCCAGGAAGGCCCCCGAAATCAGGAACGGCGCTCTCGCTCGAGCCTTTCTCCTGATTCAGTCAAATTGGTGGAGGCCCAAATGCGACGACAAGGGCTCTCGTTCGATATTTCCTCAAGATGTATTCATTCGCAGAGGCCCTTGCCAGAGAGGCCCCCGAAATCAAGAGTGGCGCTCTCGCTCGAGACGCCCTCGTCATTCAGTCAATTTGGTGCGGGCCGAGCCGCGACGACAAGGGCTCCCGGTCGTTACTTTCTCAAGCTGGAGTTCGAGAGCCCGTGGCCCGAGACTGCAATTCAGTGGCGGCGCCCGAGGCCCACCTGCGACGACAAGGGCTCCCGCTCGACACCCCCTTTAGTACTCCTACACGACCTGGCCAGAGAGGCCCCCAAACCACAAAGGCCCCAGCACGCTGCTCATTGAGGCCTTCGCACACAGCCCACAAAAGCTCCAAGCGCGCCCACAGGGGCCCCAGCACGCTGCCCACTGATGCATTCGGACACAGCCCACAGAGGTCCCGGCGCGCTGCCCACTGAGGCCCCAACACACTGTGATATGGAAGATCGCGGGACTATCGTTTCTAGCGCGCTCGCAGAGCGGACTCGTAGCTCAATTAGGCATGGGCCCTGGAAAATGATTAGAGCCAGAATGAGCGGCGGCAGAGAGCAGGTGAGGAGAGCAGCGAACCTTCTGGAATCACACTCCTTCTGCACGGTGCGCGGGCGCACGAGGCGGAGGCGCCAGAGCAGCTGGGTATATAAGCCTGGCTCTTTATTAAGCGGGGTGCCAGGCGTGCTGGAAGAACACGTCTTGCATTGCAGGCAGCCCCTGGGGCACTTACGTGGATGCGCTACACGCGACCTGTGGGATGTTTTCAGCTCTCAGCGCCGCCGGCGTTATGATCAAAACCAAGCAAGGCTAGCAATAGATAGCAAGGATTCGATCGCGAAGCGACAGAACCGCAAAAAGCTATTTTGTCGAGATAAGATCTGATTGGGTGTGATCGTCATCACATCTTTGAAACAAACTTGTCCACACTGAGTGAAGCTTCTCTAAATGCGGATTTACGTGTAAATCTCTCGCCGGGTGTGAAAACAGAGCAGCAATGCGGACTTACATAAATCTTTAGCCGGGTGTGAAAACCGAGCAGCAATGAGGACTTACGTGTAAATAGCTGGGTGAGAAAACTGAGCAGCACAATGCGGACTTACGTAGGCGGGATCGCCATAGGCGACCCCCTATAGCAACAGCAGCAGAATATTGGCAACCTGCCGTCCAGATGCCAAGCTGGACTCATCTTTCCTTCTTGGGCTTCGTGGGTTTGTCCATCGGTCAGGTCCGCGCCAGCAGTCTCTGCCGGTGAGCCTCCTCCAATGGCCCATGAGATCATTCATCACGCTTTCGGGGACGTTCGTGAAATCGGGACTGCTGTTCCTGTAGAACTGGAGAAGCCACGACGAGTGCTTCTTACAGGTCTTGCAGGTAATGTAGACGCTATGCTGGTTATGCCCGATTCTGAAATCATGGCGGGGGACGGCGGTCACACAGTTGAGCATCTCGTTCGACGATGCCGTCGGCGAGGAACCGTTCCACGAAACCACACTCGCAGATACTGAACTCGATGAACTCGATACGGTGACTATGCTTGGTGAGGAGGTAGGGGCTGAACCCGAACTCTGACCTCGATCGTGCTGATGTTGCGGTAGGTGGTGCGCTGGCAGGCGGTGGTTTTGGCGGCAGCAGTGGCGGGGGTGGTGCTGATATCGGCGGCTGCGATGGGTGGTGCCCCAAAAAGGCGCCTGAAGCCGATGCTGATGAACTCGAGGTCTGTGCACTGCTGTGCCCATCCGAGGGGTACATCGTGATGTCGCCGTCGTAATCACGATCCTCGGGGATTGTAGCTGGAATTTTACGGCGCCAGCCAAGCATGCGGCCGTCCCAGCCCGGATGCTCGCCCATTGCCTTCGCCTCGGCGACGTGCTCTTCGGTACCGATCATTCTGTTCTGCCTCATGATCGTCCAGAGCGTCACGAAGATGCCGAAATCGAAAGTCATGCCGAGGACCAGCGTGAACGTCAGCAGGCAGATGTAGAAGCTGTAGTCTGGCACCGTCGGCGTAGGCGTAGGCTGTCCCTTGACCTTGCCGAGGCAGATAAACAGGACTGAGGCGAGCATGGCGGCATGCGGCTGCTGGGTCCCGGGCCCCGAAGAAGGCCAGCAGGGCGCCGGCTTCCATCGCCTTGGTCAAGGCGTCTGCGACCATGGCCCAGGTCGGGATCCAGCTGGGCTTGAGTGCGTTATTGGGGTGCACAGCCTCCTTGATCATAGAGGCGACGATGCGGAATCGCTTGTCGGTAGACTGGCCCGCATCAGAAGCGATGTGTGTTATGAGACCTTAGCTGTCGCTGTAGATCTCCCCAGGGCGCTTGTCGGCGAGGACGTCGATCTGCTTGAGCGCCATCTTGGGGTTGTAGGCCTCGGTCAGCAGCTGGCGGAACCAGATGCCGGTCTCCGATCCCTCGAGGGTCGCGTAGTCCTCGGCAGCGAGTGTCGACTTCACCGATCTCTTGACCGTGCCCGAGTGCCAGGCCACGGATAGGCAAAGGTCGTGGCGGCCGCCGACGACGTCGCGCGGGCGGTGAGTGAGCCCCGTCACCATGCCCCACTGGCTCTTGGCCCCGTCCACGTTGGCGAACGCAGCGTCGCTGAAGCACGCGGTGGTGGCCGTCATCAGATCGACGAGCCCGCGCTTCAGCGCGATCGCGAAGTTCGCGGTCGAGTGCGCGTAGGCGACGGTTTTGTTCAGGGTCTTCCGTCGGCCACGGTGGCGACGTTGGTGCGGCGGGCTGCAAAGCTCACCGGGCAGGCGATGTCCACCTGGGTCTGGGCTGCTAGCCGTAGCAGCTGCCCGAGCGTGTGGCAGTTGCTCGTCGCCTCGGTGGCCGTGAGCCGATCCTCGGCATTGCGGCCCTTCGGGGCCCTCACGTCGATGTAGTCCACCTGCGAGGCGGCTGTGGCCCGGGTCACCCGAAACTCGTCGTCGAGCTTGGTGATTGTACGTCCACCGTTCTTGATGACCCCGTCGACCTGCTTGAGGTGAAGCTTCTCCCCCAGCGATGCAATAGTGGACTTCCACTTGGTGGAGTTGTTACGCTGGGCGATCAGGAAGTCGTCCACGTGGGGATGGATAGCCGCGGCGAGCCCACCCTCGTCGTAGAAATAGTAAAGGCCCTTCTCGAGCTTGCTCTCTACGAGGCCGTGTTCGGCGAAGACCTTCTGGGCGTAGAGGTACCGCTGCCTCCCGGCGTCGCGCGTCCCGTAGATCGCGCCCGTGGCCGTCGCGATCTCGCCAGGCTGCGCCCCCGGCGGCGGGTTTCTGGCCGGCCTTCGCGGGGGCAGCAGCTCCTCGACGATCCCCGACTGCAGGTGGGCCGTCATTGCGTCGTAGGACGAGATGTCCCAGTTCTTCTGGGCCGCGGCGGCCAGGGTAAGGTAGAGCGCGCCCCTTGATCCCGTAGGCGCGTCCGTCCTGATCTGTGATTTGTCCTCCTGGCAGCCCTGCGCGACCAGACGGGCCTTCGTGACGTTCTGGCCCTTGCTGGTCAGCACCCAGCGTGCGCCCGCAGGGTGGATGCCAGGGTTGCACCGCAGGAGCTCCTTCAGCTCCCTGGGTGGGAGCTTCCTGTGGGCGCCGAACTCCGTCCACTTGGACCTCTCGGTCTTCATGGCGGCGTCCATGTTCTTCTTCTCGGAGGCGCTCAGGGTGTCGTACTTGAGTTCCTTGGCGGTCGCGTTGCCCGTGGGCAGTGCCTCGCGGAGTCGTGTGCTCGCGTGGAGCTCGTCCGCGTGCTTCAGGAAGTAGTTGTCCAAGTGGAGGTCGACCATGTTCGTGTCCTTCGGCCACTTGAAGCTTTGGGCAAATTGTCCGAGAGATCCTCGCGCTTGGCTGCGCGCTCGCGGCCGCGTCGGAGAGCATGCGGTGCGGATTCTTGTTGAACCTGTCTCTGTGCCTTCGTGCCGCGCTGGTTCTCGGTGTCCAGTGGGCGCCTTGCCGCTGTCTCCTGTCGAGACTGCTCCTCCGCGGCCCCTTGCAATTCCCAAATCATGTCCGATCCGGTGCAGTCGGACTTCCCGTCGTCCTCGGCGTCGTCGACCGGGCCCTGAGGCTCGGGTTCAGGATGTGGATGAAAATCTGCGGCGGCAGGGGCAGCAGGATGATCAGTGGCGGCAGGGGCGGCGGCAGTGTTTGAGCCCATGGCGGGCGCCCTAGGGGGCGGCGCCGCCGGCAGCGGCTGCGCCGCGTCTCCTCCCGAAGGCGGTGGGGCTGCTCCTTCACTGCCGCTAGCTCCTCCACTGGTCGTGAAATCACCGTCTCCTTGTTTGCGTGCCAGCCATTCGGCGTGCTGATGGGCGCGCTGGTTCGCTGCGGTGTTTTCGATGTTTCCGCAGTTGTGCGCCTGGATGGCTGGCCTCTGAACTGGTGCTGGTGGCGCTGGTGGTGAAGGCTGCCCTTCGCTGCGGGGTCGCTTCTGTGGTGTAGGGCCCGAGAGGTCGAGGAAGGTGCCCTCGTCGTCTCGTGGCGGTGCAGGGCCGTCGCGCCCCCCGTCGTGGCCAGGCGGCGGGGGCCCACCGCCTGCGCCGCAGCCGCCTCCTCCAGGATCGCGAGGAGGTGCGGGCCCTGATGTCCCTGGCGGGGCGCCTGGTGGTGGCCCGGGCGGCTGGCTGCCGTGCAGCGCGTTCTGCACTTGTTCCCGCGGCGCGAGCTCCGATGCCGCGCTGGCTGACCCAGACGTTCGAGGCGCCCTCGAACCCGATGATGACGCCGGGCCCGTGCCACTGACAAGCCCACTCTCACTTGGGCTTTCCGTTGCCCCTCCAGTAGTACATTTGGTCGCCAGTCTGGTAGACGTCGCTGGCGTGCTGAGCTCCATCTGCCTGAGACCGGGCCAGCAGCGCTCTCGAGAGGGACTGGTTGAATCCCAGCTGCTGCGTGGAGACCTGCGCGGCCTTCACGATGGCGATCCTCTCTGAGAAGGGCTTGTCGGACACGATGCGCTCGCGCAGGGGAAGCCTGCCCGCGTTGTCCAGCAAGCAGTATGGGAGCCGAAGGCCTCGCCCGAACACTCACTGCGACGGCGAGTAGCCCGTGGAATTGACCTGGCTGTTCATGGCCCAGCACACGGGGGCGATCAGCCACTGGACCTTGTGGGCGATCTCGGGCCGGTCGAACTTGATGCTGAACTGGTCGATCAGCTTCCTCGCGTGCACCTTCCACATGCCTCCATGTCGCTCCACGGTAGCATTCTGCTGCGGCGTAGCCGCAGAGGTGGTCATCAGACGGCAACCCATGTCCTCCAGCTCCTTGGAGAACTCTCGCTCGAACTCGCCTCCACCATCAAACATGACGCGTTGAGGCGCGCCGAAAGGCGTGATCCAAATCTGCGGCAGTCGGGCGAATGCAGCTGGTGGGTGCCTTGATGCAACCGTGCCGCACATCGTACAACCCGAGGCCAGGTCGACCGCGTTCAGGTCGATCAGCTGGTTGCCCGCGTAGTCGGCCAGGGTGAAGAGGTCCACTCCGATGGAGTCGTTGAAATCCCTGTCCAGTCTGTGGTAGTGGCCGTTGATGTGCTGCACAGACTTCGCAGTAGAGGTTGAGAGCCATCTCCATGGATCTCTGCGATCCGCCTGTCACGCGAATAGCTCGGGCAAGCGAGTCGTTGGACGGGTGCTCCGTGTTCACGTTGAGCTGCACCACGGCGGACCTGAGCGTCCGCTCCTCCGCGTCCGTGAGCACTGGTTCCTATGCGGCTGCGGCGGCTGGCATCATTCTCCTGCTCGCTCTTCGTGCTGTAGGGTGTGCTTCGCGTAGGGGTCGGCGGTTTGGTCGCTGCAGTTGCTCGGCCAACACCTTCACGAGCTTGTGCGTGTAATTCTCGCTGTTCTTCGCGATCTTGCCACGAGCCTCGACGTGGGGATGCGACCCATCGCAGAACCTCCTGACCTCCTGATGATGATGATGCTGATGATGATGGTGATGATGATGATGCTGATGATGATGATGATGATGATGATGATGATGATGATGATGATGATGATGATTATGATTGTGATGGTGATGGAGGTGATGGAGGTGGAGGGGGGGAGGGGGATGAAGGGCCCCCCCCTCCCGATCATCATTGTAGTTCGTGTTTCGTGGCAGTGTCGCTGTCGTGGTCGTGTGCCTTACCCCGGCGTGTGCCTCAGCGGTCGCACGTTTGCGGTAAGACGCCTCAGCTACTCGGCTCGAGCCATCCATAGTGGCACTGTGCATGTCGGGATTCTGCCTCTCCCGCGACAGGAGCTTACCAAGCAGGTGAGTGACCTGGACCGCCGCTTGCGCGACGGCCTGGCCTCCATGAGCGAGGCCGTCTCTCGCCACCGTCGCGGAGAGGAGGGAGCGAACGGGAGGATGGGGAGGAGGATGAAGAGGAGGGTGGAGGTGAGGAGGATAAGTAGGAGCACGAGTAGAGAGAGCGGGGAGAGGATAAGGTGGAACAGGAGGGTAGGGAAGAGGAGTCGGAGGTGAAGGAGGAGGAGGAGGATGGGGAGGAGGAGGAGGAGGAGGAGGAGGAGGAGGAGGAGGAGGAGGAGGGGGAGGAGGAGGAGGAGGAGGAGGGAGGAGGAGGAGGAGGAGGAGGAGGAGGAGGAGGAGGAGGAGTAGGAGGAGGAGGAGGAGGGTAAGGAGGAGGGGGGTAAGAAGGAGGAGGAGGAGGAGGAAGAGGAGGAGGAGGAGGAGGAGGAGGAGGACGAGGAGGAGGAGGAGGTGGTGGAGGTGGGATGCAGGGGAATCTAAGCCAATCATGGAAAGAAGTAAAGGTGGGAGGGGGACGGGGGCGCTGCGGGGGTGGCATGCAGGATCCTGCCAGTCGGGGAGCGGTCGTGCTTGCCTCGATCGTGCCGCGCTCACCTGGCAAGAAAGGGTCCACCTGCACCCAGTGGGACGTCCTATGTTACCTTTTTTGGGCCGCAGAGCCCCGTCTATGGGGTCCCAGCCGCGGTTGCCCTTGATGCTAGCTTTTTCCCTGGTCGCTCAAAGTTCCGCCCACGGGTCTGCACGATCGAAATTGGTGCGGGAAGAACGGGGACGAAGACCGACAGGAGTTCTGGTTTATTTTGGACAGGGTTCGCTGCCGCCGTTGCCACGTACGCTGTCCATTTGAGACAAGGGTCGCCTGCCCAACAGCGGCCGATGTCGATATCGGACAACACCTGCTGTTTGACATCTTGCCTATTTTGCCCGTACATACACACTTCTGGAGTGCCGAATGGGACCCTGTCTCCAGTTGCCCTGGGTGTCGGTCGTTCTTTCCCGCTTGCCTACTCGGCTCCGCCCGCAGGCTCCTGGCCCGATCCGCCCTCGTGTCGTGCTGTTCTCACGGCGGGGGCCTGGGGGGAGCTCTCTGCCCCACTCCTCGGGGCCGCTTCTTCGTCTTCTGACCGAGATGCCCTGGGCGGTGAACAACAGGTCCGCTGTTTTCTTGTTGTTGTGATTGTTGTTGTTGTTGTTGTTGTTGTTGTTGTTGTTGTTGTTGTTGTTGTTGTTGTTGTTGTTGTTGTTGAACATTATTCCTTCTAAAGAATTGTTATTGTTGGGACCCCTGGTGCGCGACCTCTGCGCCGCGCCTAGGCCGCAGCTACATTTTCATCATTTTTTCGCGAAAGCTTCAGAAAAGTGGATGAGCTCCGGATCCGGTTTTTTGTTGACGCTCGTTTTCCCTTGCAAAAAACAATAGAAAATGAAAATTCTTGTTTTTACTTGATCAAATTGCAAGAATCCCTTGCAAAAAATAAGGTAAAGTGGACATTCGTGCGCGCAAGACGAAATCCTTCCAAAACCTTAGGTTTCGTAGCGATTTTAACATAAAAACATCAAAAACCCAATGGTTTTCTCAGAAAAAATTGTCAAAATGTCCTTCCGCGCGCTCTTGCGGATTCCTAGGAAACCCACCAGATTTTAAACATTTCTGTTAAAAGGGCCTTTGCGTGCTACTTCTTCAGGTGCTTTGAACTTCTCCAACAACGGTTGCGCGCCTGCGAGGGCCACCATCCCTTGCAAAAAATGAGACGAAGTGCACATGCGCGCGGCCGCCGCGCGCGCATGTCGAAATCCTGCCAAACACAGCACATGCGCGCGGCCGCCGCGCGCGCATGTCGAAATCCTGCCAAACACAATGGGTTTTCAATAATTTCAAGATGCGATGTTCAGAAAACATATGAAAACACACTACTTGCTCATCCGAAAAATCTCGAAATCCATTCGCGGTCTCTTGATGAATCTTTAAAACCCAAGATGGCCCCAACAGGCGCGCAAGATGGCCCCAAGAGGCGTCCATGAGGCCCAAAGAGGCGCCCAAGATGGTCCCAAGAGGCTTCAAGAGGACTCCAAGAGGCCCCCAAGAGGTTCCAGAGAGGCTCCAAGGTGGCTCCAAGAGACCCCCAAGATGGCCCCAGGAGGCGTTCTAGAGGCCCCAAGAGTCCGCCGTGAGGGTCCAATAAGCCCCCAAGAGGCCCCAAGATGGTTCCAAGGAGCCCCCCAAAGGCTCTCAAGTGGACCCCAAACCGCGCCAGGAGGCTTCCCCCCTTCCCCAAGAGGACCCCAAGCGGCCCCAGGAAGGCCCCCGACTGCTGACGCACATATCCGTAGCCATCTCGGATCAAGGTATCGCCTGTGTTCTTGGATCATGGCTTTGACGGCGAAAGACCTTCACGAGCAGTATGGCCCTGAGCTGTCGCGGCCTCCCTTGGCCGACTGCGAGAGTGCGTATTATTTGCATCAGGCGCTCCGGGCAAAGGGTATCAATGCTAGTCACCAGGCGTGCAAGACTTGGTGGGCCAAGTATCGGGTTGTGACTGGCACGGTCAGTATTTCTAGCGCCTTCATGGGTACGGACCCGCAGAAAATGGCCCTTTGGAACGTATCCCCTGAGGTCGGCACAGAGATCACGTATCCGCGTCAAGACCAGTGGTGGTGGTTGCCCGTATGGCGGTCGTATGGTCAGAGCGACGAGCTTCCGAACATGCTCGATTACCAGGCCTTGCCACCGCAGGTCCACAACGTGCTCGCGGTAGCACTGCCGTATGCAAGCACCGGCCTTCCCGCCAGCAGGCGTATCGGCAATCTCATTGGGCATCTGGGACCGCACGGGTATCAGCCAGGCCCGCACGTGTATCAGCCAGGCAGCCGGGCACCCACGCGCCCGCTCCGCGCCATCGCAGACGACGATGCGTCGCGCCTTTAGTATGCTTCTGGATGCGAAGACCATTCGGTTGAGTATACCCCTACGTGTGACTGGACCTGTTTGCGAAAGCAGGAGAAAGTATGGCACCCCTTTGTGTCCAGAGCCGCGCCGTCTGCGTTCTTCCTTTCTCGCTTCTCTCCTTTCCTACTTGTCCTGCTCCTCCTCCCCCTCTTCCGCCTTGGAGCCGTATGGGAACTGTCGATGGCCATCTCCCTTTCTCCCTCGCATGTCTGCTTGTACATACGTATAATTTCAGAACTTGCCGTGCATGCGATCGTTTACAACATGGTGGACCGTGCGTATGTCACGAACCTTGTATACATGTGTTTCTCTCCCTCCGTCTGGCTGTGCACGCGCGCGTTGGGCACTGAGAGTTAGGATCATAGCGCCATGAGTCTATGAGCAATGCATGCGTCATCCTTGGGACTGTATAACATCAGTGTAACACATGTACTTCTGTAATCGCATCCCCACGAATTTGCCCCAAAAATGTGACCAACTATCTTGGCACTGCGTACCATCTCACGTGTACCGTGTACCACATCATATGTAACAGGTGTGATCAACCTCTGTGGGGGTGTACCCCACGCCAGTGTAGTAGCCAGGGTCGTCCGCACGCCACGAAGTGAAGTGTCCCAACGTCATAGGGCGGGAAGCTGGGTGTGGGTGGTCTCGAAGAGTCGTTTGGATATTTGGTAGAGCTTGAACGGCCCCCCCACGAAGTGGGGGTATTGGCTGGTGTCGCAAGAAAACCCTGGCACTGGGGAGAACACTGAGCGTTCGGGTAAAATGATTGTTGTTGTTGTTTTTGGTTGTTGTTGTGAATATTATTGCGGTCTAAAGAATAATTATTGGTGGGCCCCCTGGAATGCACGCCCCCCCCGCCGCGCCTAGGCCGCAGCCACATTTTCATCATTTTCGTGAGGAAGTCTCAGGCAAAACGGGGGAGTCCGGATCCGGTTGTTTTGTTGACGCCCGCTTTCCCTTGCAAAAAACAATATAAAATGACATTTCTTGTTCTAACATAACCAAACTTCAGGAATCCATTGCAACAAATGACACAAAGTGCACATTCGCGCGCGCAAGACGAAATCCTTCCAAAACCTTAGTTTTCGTAGCGATTTTAACATAAAAACATCAAAAACCCAATGGTTTTTCAAAAACAAGTTGTGACAATTCTATCCCGCGCGCTCTTGCGGATTCGTAGGAAACCCAACACTTTTTTAACATTTCTGTCAAAAGGGCTTTTGCGAGCAACTTTTTCGAACTTCTGCAACAACGGTTGCGCACCTGCCAGGGCCATCATCCCTGTCAAATAATACCATGCGGGACACATTCGTTTTTTCTTCGCGCGCGCACGCCGTCGTCGTCGGCCGCGGGGCCCTGAATAGTAGCCACGGTCGTCCGCATGCCACGAAGTGAAGTGTCCGAACGTCATAGGGCGGGAAGCTGGGTGTGGGTGGTGGCGAAGAGTCGTTTGGAAATTTGGTAGAGCTTGAACCGGCCCCCCCACAAAGTGGGGGTATTGCCCGCCTCCTATGAAAACCCTGGCACTGGTGAGAACGGAGTGTCCCCACGTGCTAGTAATTGTTGTTGTTGTTGTTGTTGTTGTTGTTGTTGTTGTTGTTGTTGTGATTGTTGTGATTGTTGTGATTGTTGCTGTTGCTGTTGTTGATGTGATTGTTGTTGTTGTTGCTGCTGTTGTTGTTGTTGTTGTTGTTGTTGTTGTGTTCGCGACGCCCGCAGATCTGGGCAGCCCGTCTTTCTTGGTCAAGCCACGCGGGGCGCTCCCGAACGGGCCTCGCCTTCGAGGGGTCGAGAGGTTGATATTAAGTCTAGCCTGTCCCTCTACAGGGGGAATATCTAAAATAATAAGAACATGGTCAGGAGACGATGGCTTGAGTATCTGTGATTTCTTTTTGATTCTGTTGGGACTATGTTCTAAGGTTGACATCTCTTCGCAGGCGGATGGCGGCGGACGGGTGGGGACGGGTGGCGTAAGCCGGCGGGGGCAAAACGGCGGCGGCTCCGCCGGCGGAAGACTGGCGGAAGCGAAGGATTTTTTGGTGGGGGGGTCAGGGTTTCAGAACCCGCCAGATGGTCACTATCATTAGGTCGGGCATGTCCCTCTACAGGAACATTCAGCAGTAGTGAAACAATTCAGAGCCC